TGTCAATATTTCCAGCGCTACTTTAGCCAAAGAAGGAGTAAGCCTTTTATCCCGTCGTTTAAGCTTCTGTCCTGCAAGTGGCAGCTACAATGAATTTCACTTGTATAATGATTTAGATAACTTCGCACGGAATATGAGGTTGCATGAATACTTATTCGATCAGGCGGCTCTGGCCGATGATCCAACAGCTTTACCATCGCTGCTTAAACGCTGGACGCCTACGTCTCAACGGGACAAACACCTTGGCATATTTATTAAAGTGGTCACACAGGATATCATTCAAGCTTAGTCAGTGGTAGGTCCATGGGTACAAAAACAGGGCCTACTTACAAGAACATTTTGATGGGAATCCTCGAGAACAATTTCTTGTTGGGTTGGTGGTTGAAACCATTTTACTATAAGAGATTCATTGACATTTTCATAATTTAGCTACACGGAGAAGTGAAACTTTTGTCTTTTATTTCCGACTTTAACAATGAGCATCCTTCCATATCATTTTCACACTTTTATTCACTAAGCACTATTAACTTCCTTGATGTTACAGTATGTATCCATGGCACGCAATTGACTACAAAACTGTACCGCAAGACCACTGGTTCTTACATTTTGAAAGTAGCCACAAAAGGTATTGCAAAGTGAGCATACCATATAGCCAGGCGTTACGCTTTAAGCCAACTTGCTCCAAACAGTCCCACTTGGATGCCAATTGTACAGAACTACGCAGGGCTCTTCTTAAACAGAAATATCCAGCTAAGTAAATCGATGATGCAGTGAGGCATGCCGACGCATTAGAACGCACAGCACTCTGCAAAACCAAGAAAAATCTTGAAGATTCGTTCAGAGGTCAACTTACTTTTAACACACAATGCGTCAGCTTCTAATGTTACAATTATTCTCCGAAAACACCACAACATTATTCAGCAGAGTGAACGCCTTACAAGAGCCTTTCCCCAACCACCACAAGTTGTACACAGACAAGGCAAAAATCTACGCAATTTGTTAACGTCTTCTAAAACCAAATGTAATGACAACACTCAACTGGTTGGTTTCCATCCCTGTAAAAAACCTCGCTGCAAAGTGTGTGCTCACATGACAACAATAACCTTTGTAACCAGCACAGCGACTGACTTCAAAATAAATATCAGAGGCAATTTCAATTGTGACACACAGAACACCATTTATTTGCTGAAGTGTTCAATCGCTCATCTACAATACATTGGTCAGACTGAAACTGCTTTTAGGTATTGATTCAACAATCATAGAGCTCATGTACATGCCCTTCCTCACTTACCAATTTCAAGACATGTCACCACACAGGTCATTCCTTCGGTAACATCCGAGCCACAATAATTGAATCTGGTTTCAAGACACATCATGATCGCGAAGTTAGGGAGTCATTCCTAATTCATAAGCTCCAAACTCTTTCAAATGGAATGAACAAAAGCTCGGGAACAGTTACTTGCATGTTGCCTTAGTTCATTAATACATTTTAGCAATGGCTTGTGTATGTTTGTTGTGCTAGTTCAGCTATTTGCGTATTATTGCGCACATAATGCCTCTCGTCTACATCACTCATACCTTTGAACATTCTTGTATGGGGTTATTGCATATATTTTTTTCAAAAATTCTTTTTCAATGTTTTGTTTTTATTTATTTATTTCTTGCTCATTTAAGAGATTATCCTTCTACATTTGTGTTCTCATGAGAGATTATGCGTAATTTGCTGCTCTGTTTGAATTTGCGCAGTGCGTGTTTCTATTCATCTAATTTTATTTTATTTTATTTTTTAATGATGCCTTGTAAACCTGCTTCGATGCACACTATTTACCGCATATACAAGATATGCCATCTGACTATCGTGAATTGTCATGTGTATTCCATATAACCACGTCTATCGATTGACTTGTATTGTTGATCTGCAACTTAGCGTGAAAAAGCGCAAAATGACGCATTCTGGTGATACCGGAGCCACCTGCTCATATAGGCCTTGCACGGCCTTTCATCATTTAGTCTGGTGAAGGCAGGCCCTCCTGCCGAAGGGTTAGTAAAAACTGCGGTTCGTATGTTTGTCATTTTATTATTATTATTTTTTTTCAATTATGTGTGTGTGTGTGTGTGCGTGCACGCGAGTGTGTGTGTGTATAATACAGTAGACTCATGATCATTCAAAATTTGATCATTCATACTTTCTGTTATTTCAAACAAAATTCTATTTTTTGGTTGGCACTCTATTCCTTAAATATACTTAAAAGGCTGCTAACAAACTTCATCATTCTGTTAATTCATACTTTTTGCGGTTCCATACCAGAAAATATGTGCTGATTTCCCACTTCTATTTAAAAATTTCCATGCTTATGTAATCCTTACAGTCTAAAAATAAAAATTAAGTGCCTCAGGCTTTCAAGGAAAAAGGCTTTGCTAGTATAAAAATGTTTGAAATGGAGCACACGTATGGTAACCCGTGATGCTTCTCAGCTGGTATAGAAAAGTTTGTGCTTTGGTCAATAAACTTGTGGACCTTTCACCTCTGCTGTTGGTTCATTGCATGCAGTTAGGGCTTAAAAATGCTTAAAAATTTTTTTAATGTGATAAAATCAATGCCTAATCATAAGTTGGAGCAACGCCTTCTTCAAAGTCATATATCTGAGATCTTCTAATAATTGCAAACTTCTTGATAATTTAAACAAAATCCAGAGGTCTCTTCGAATTTGAATAAAGGAGAGTGTGGAAAACTATATCGCCACTACAGATGAGATGTCAGGTTAAGTGCTTCTGGAAACTGTCCGAGGTCAGGTCGACAACAACAGACCTTCGGAGGTCAACTCCTCATGCACTTTGCCGTCTTGCGCCGCGCCATGGGTTCGATAGATTGTAGCCTTCACGATTCGCTCCAGCATTGCGACAGCACATTGAGTGCAATGCACTTAGTGCTAGAGCAACAAATTGTAATGTTATACCAAGTAAGGCTGGTAGTCATTGATCTTCCCAGCATGTATGTCATGTCACTTCCATAATTTTAATGTTTTTACCCATCTTTAGGGTGGGGAATTTTTGTCCCTATATAGCCACTTAAGAGCACCATTGTTCACAAGTTCACATCTCCTGAATGTCACGATAAATAACTGATCATTGCTATTGTTTACATCATCTGTGATGACGCTCTTTGGCCAAGCTTGGCCCTTGTACCACTAAGATCCACATACAGTCGAACCCTTCTATAAGAGACTGATATAAGAGACAAATGAGTATAAAAGACACAAGTGTGCCTGCCGTAAAATACAGGTTGATGAGAAAATGCATACGAGGTCCCTTGCTTATAAGAGACATCTCATATAATAGACAAGAACTGCTGCCCAGAGCACGCCTGTCATTAAGGGGTTTAACTGTATTATCAAATAAGGCTGGAAGCTAACTCTTTTCAATCAATATTGCATAACTCTACAAAACACTGGTGTAAGAAATTACAGCTGATCCAGGAAAAAGTGCTCTTTTCGCAGTCTCTTTGCATTGAGAACGCAGCACATGGAAAGGTACGTGAGCTTTGTACTAATGCTTGACGAGATAGTGATTGTGACTATGCCCATAAAAATTAAAGTTTACTGTTGCTTCTCGAGTACCCCCCCCCCCCTCGCATTTTTTCAAGCTCGTTAAGATGAGTGGGCTTTCTGTTTGAGCATCTTACGGCAAGTCTAACATGCGCGGGGATCTTAACACATGTGCCCTCCAAGGCGATGGAGGTGGGCCAGCTCGTTTGATCTCTGCATCGGGAGCGCTTGTCGCATCTGCTTGCATTTAAACACTATTGCAATAATAGTGAAATTTTTTATGGCTAAGTGTTTTAGGTGAGCTCTTTGTTTAATTTGTATTTTTTTAGTTTTCAAGCTGACACGTTACGTGATGAGAAACCTGTTTTTCATGAATTCTTTTGGGAATTAGTCAATTTGTTATATCCAGGTTTGACTGTAGTAGAGGTTCTATTTTTGTGCATCTTTTGTTTTATATTTTATTACTGTTGAATCCTTTGGTTAGATATGTTGTTACATATTTGACTGGTTGGTGGGGCCACCTAGCCTGTGAATTGAAACAAAGAGCAGTAGAACACAGGGGGAACCTCAACCAGTTCCCTGCCAGCAAGTACAACTGTGCATTTTGTTTCTTGCCAGCTATGTGTCAAGAATGTATAGCACCCTTTGTAATATACGGTACATGTGAAGAGGAGCAGTTCTAGTACTTTCTCTTATACACAGGGTATACCACATTTTTTGATTGACCCCATACTTATTGTATGTCTAATTATATGTTTCATTAGTGCTATTTATAGAGGAGTTCAACTGTATATATTTTTTTTTTCACGGTTGTGTTTGGCTAGCAAGCTGGGATTAATATCTACACACCCTAGTCTTCCCATTCCCTTAACATTACACCCTCCGTTTTCTCGCTTTCAACTATTACCATGCACACCGCATGCATTTAGGATATGGATGCTTGCCAGAGCCGCCTCTGAAAGCTTTGTTATTTACCGTGTGGAAGCGAGCATTGGCTAAAGTACTGCAAAAGTTTATAGACGCCACCAGTTCATGTGTCCTGATTGTGCTTGATCATTGTGCTTTACCGTAAAATGCTGAGCGAGCACCCCCACCTGGGTAAGCCCCCCCCCCCCCCCCCCAAGTCTGATCCAATTATCCTTCACTGTAAAGGGCGTGCTTGCTCAGCATTTTACGGTGATCCGAAAAATCGGACTCTGATAAGCTTCAGCGTGGCAAATTTCAGGCGTTTTTGAATTATTGACATCAGTAAGGCTTGTGATGGTGCTGTGAAAACGTCATAAGTTTCGAGCATGTTTGGAAAATTGGCAGTTGACTGTATCAACTCTCGTTTCAGCGTAGGCACACTCATGTCGCATATACCGTATTGGCTATTCTCTCTGTGTCTCTTATAAAGGGTTTCAGGTATGTCATTTTTCTCAATGTGCTAAAGCATTTTGCATTATTTGTCTGCAGTTCTTTGATGATGCACCAATCTTCAAGATTCCCGGTAGAAGATTTCCGGTCGACATCTATTACACCAAGGTACCTGTTCTGCCCCAGTGTGGCCACTGATCTCTCTCTGCTGGCAAAAATTTTCTCCAGAGCCTAATGCGACCATTCTTAATCTGTGCCATTCTTAATCTGTGTGACAGGCTCCTGAGGCAGACTACCTGGATGCGTGCGTGGTGACAGTCCTGCAGATCCACATCACCCAGCCGCTGGGTGATATTCTGGTCTTCCTCACCGGGCAAGAGGAAATTGAAGCCTGCCAGGAAATGCTCATGGTGAGGGTGTGGTGCGACCTTCAGAGAAGGGCACTTTCTTGAGGGTTATTTCACATGCACGATACCATGTATTGAGCATGCTGCTGCATCTTCACAAGGCAAAAGAAGTACCCTATTTCCTTGCATGTAACCTGCCCCTGCTATAACCGGCACCCCCAAATGATGAACTGCGAAAAATTTTTTAAGGAAGATGCCCTCACGTCGCCTTAAAATTACGTTCTTTGCATTGCTGTCAAGCGCTGCTGTAAAGTCACCTTCTACATTGAATAGCACCTGCTGTCGCACTAGTTAGGGCATAGCTGAGAAGGAAATCATAGGCGCAGAACGAAGATGAAGGGCGTAGGAGGGACACAGACAAGCGCACTCTCTTTTCCATGTTTTTTTTTCTTTTGTTTTCACAACACAAAAATAGGCTGTCATGAAAACCTATCATGACAGCCTATTAGCTAAGAAAGCGAACTCATTTTCAAACAGATGAAAGACGCTGATACATCCGTCTCTAATTTGCTTAATATACACCGTCTCCACTAGTTCACATGCTGCCTTGTCTTTGCTTCTAAATAAAATACACGTACTGTTTGTTCTGGAAAGGTTCACACAAGCGCTTTTTGCAATGATGCGGCAAATGCGGGCTTGTACCGTTTCTCAGTTGTAGCATATACTCTTTTAGGTGATTGTTTATACAATGCCCCGACTGACCTATGTACACCTTGCTACAACTTAGGGGAGTGTTACCGTATTTACTCGCATAATCCTCGCACTTTTTTTGCCGGAAAACCGATGAAAAGTTGGAGGGTGCGAGAATTACGCGGGGAAAACTTTCTACGAAAACGTACAGAGTGAAAAAGAAAGCGAAGTGGCCGCAAATCTGGATTCTCACCCCAGCAACTAACAGCAAGCTTTAAGAAGTACTAATTAAAACTTACCTCCACAATAAAAGCAGAGGTTCAACACAAGACAAGATTTATTTGAGACACAAAAAGTGGAAGCAAATAGTCGAGAATTAGAATACCATACGCAAAGCTTGCGGGCGTAGCGGTAGCATTGGTCGCACAACAGGAGCCCTCAAAAGGTAAACGTGGGACGTCAGTATTGGGCTGATGGCTATTTAACAGAATTGTCCGCAGTTTCCTTCTTAAGAAATAAAGTTTACCATCAATCCCAGTTTTAAGCACACGGCAGGCCCAACTGCTACTGGTGATGGCTTTCAGCAGCCATCACCAGTAGCGAACACAAAACTCGTAGACTCCGAAGGGCCTACCGGCAGCCCTGTTGTCATTCTTTAGTGCATGATGTATCACTTGCAACTTGAAAGCAGCCGTACAGCTTCAGTATCGCCTCATAACTTGATAAGGTTACCGACGCAACATACAAAACACGCTGCAACGTGCACTGGCCACTTCGGCTTTGTTCTAATTGGATTGAATCTCTGTGCAATAGTACGCTTGATGCTTAAGAGATGGCGTCAGATGGCGTGCGCTATCATCATCATTGGCTGGAAAGAGCAGACGACATTATTGCAGCAGTTTTCGGGGGTGCGATAAATACTCGGGAAAAAAAGAAAACGTATTTTTGTTGGGCGATGTGGGGGTTGCGAGGATTACGCGAGTAAATACGGTATATACAATGCCCTCTGAACACTTCAAAAAGTTTTTTGTGGGGTTCTTGGCACACTCAGCACTTGGTGTGCAAAATGAACGATCACAAATGTGTGAAAGCCTCCAAGAAGCCGAAAACATGACGAGGATTTCAAATCTTGATGCCATGTTCCTCAAAGAATGAGCCATTATGTGCACATACAGAATGATAACAGGGTGCTTTCGCTGTGTCTTTTCACTTGTTGCTGAAACACTGGTGGTCTTACAACAAAATTTTTTTAGTAAAGCTTCACCCACTGAAGTCAGAATGCAAGAAGGAAAGCCAGCCCAAGCAAGCCTGGAAATCTGCAACCTAAAGCTTTCACGAAGATGGGGTTGCAAGACCTTGTTAATTAAGGCTAACTGTAAGTGGGTACTAACTATGGCTCTTTTCACTACTTTAGAATTAGCAGAACGAAATGGTGAAAATTCCATTTGGGCAGAAGGGTGATACATCCAACGCATGTGGTTTTCGTCAAGCATAAGATGAAGGTCTAAAAACTTCAACTTGTCATCAGCAGGATGCGTGTAGGCAAACTGTAGTTCTTGTCCAAGTACACATTAATTATCCACAACATGCACAACCAGTGCCTCCTTTATACTGAGTGCCCGATAAAAGCGTGAGAGAACAAAAGAATCTTCTTTCGGTGCAAGTGCATCGTCTTGTCACCAAGCGCCACTACCCAAACAGGGCAGCGGACGTGGCGGAGTTGGCTATGCGCTTCAGCCGGCGTGGGCCTGGCGCCGCGCTCAAAATAAAACAAATTTATCCTCAATTTTTTCGCGCTCAAACCTGTAACGACGGGTGCATGTTGTTTCCACAGTACCCATGCAGGGTTTATATCGCAAATAGAATCGCTGAATCATGTTACCTAATCTTGCAAAGCGGCAGCTTTCGCACTTTACCCATAAGCAAAAAATAGTACACCAAAAGAGTACTAAAAACATTGCGTTCGATGACATACTTTTATTAGCTGACAAACCAATATGTTCACTCTATAAAATCATGCAATCGCGTGCCTGAATGCGTGAAAAACATGTATTCATCACATTTATGCAGATGTTGAGCTCGAGCTAGTTTCAGTGTGCGACAAGGGAAAAAAGATGCTTTCCTTTAACTTAATTATTAGCTTATCGCTAGATGAATCATCGACGTCAAGCTCTTTAGGTGCAGCGTACGTAACACACCTACTTGTGGACATGATTTCCAAATATTTCCAACATTGACTCACTATGCATGGTCGTTCTCTACACTAGAAAATTAATAAATATGAAGTAATACGAATAGACACATTTAATGGAAACAAAAAAAAAAACAACAAAGAACACTTACAGGTATGTATCTGTACATTAATAGCCACTAAGCCTATAAAGCTTCACATATTTTCTGAACAGGGGTTTTTTTTTGCAAAGTGTTTGAAAGCATCGTTCTTGTCACTGACATAGTTCACCAGCAGTAGCTGCAGAAATCTAACAGAGATTAGCTCCATGAGCCTAACTCTGTGAATCTCATCACAGTCTTTGCACTTGAACAAGTTTGAAGCACATGGGCTCGCACAGTGTGATTCACTTGTGTTGACAGTAGCTTTGCCAGAGTGGGGTTTCCCTTCAGGGTACGATCAGCAAATTTCCTTAGCATGTCAACTACAAACAGCAAGTGGTCTCATGGGTTGCACGAGTTGGCTGCCGTTGATGTGTCCATGGAGCAGCAATCATACATATCCTCCACCGATTAAGTAAAATCTGCTGCTGGCAGCAATTCTTGGATTGCTGTGCCGCTCCTGGAGTCATTTCGCGCTGTTGTAGCACTCACTCTTTTGACAATGCTCGCTATACAGTCGAACATGGTTATATCAAACCCATATATATATCGAATTTTTGGGTATATCGAACTCGAAAGTTATCCCCTTGAAATTCCTTTGTAAAAATATAGAAATTTGCACATTTATATCGAACGGTATTTTTAGCTACCTTCGAATATATCGGAACGCCGCACGAGCTGGAAGGTGCGCTTCGGCACTCGCTGCCCCCAACCTTCAACCCCTTGCGATCTTCATGGCAGCACAACTCTGCGCGCTAGTTGGAAGGCATGCTTTGGCACTCGCACCACCCGGCAACCTCCGTGCAGCACCACACTTCCGCCAAAACCCAAAACGCCCGAAACAAAGGTAAGGGCGAGAGGGCTCGGACTGCACAATTTCTAACTTGCAGAAGGGCTTTTTTTTTTTCATTTCTTTTTCTCTCTCATGCATTCTCCACGTACCCATCGGCTCGGAGAGCAGGAACGAAAGAGCCGAGGTCCTCCTCCTTTCACCTTTTAGTATTTGTTGCTGTTTTGTGAGTTTTGATTAGCCAAGCACAGCTCATGCCTTTTGCTGTGTTGCCCTCGCAGGTGGCCATCATCTCGCGAGCGCTGTGTTGCTTCCATATGCGCGTCGCCTACGTACCACCGCATGTGCAGCATTTCTCTTTTTTTTTTAGGTGCTGCGTTGTGCTCCCAGCTGGGCTGCAGAAATTAGGCGCCTTCTTCTTCTTCCAATCACTACCACCACCACCATTTCTCTTTTGAAGGTAAACATTCGACAGAAGTCTGTCTGCTTGGGTATGAAACTGGGAGATGATTTAGACTGGTTGGAGTCTAAATCGTCTCCCAGTTTCATACCCAACCAGACAGACTTCTATCGAATGTTTACTTTCAAGTCAGTCAGCCAAGACTTCGGACACGACACAATGCCGCTCGTCAAGCGCTACATACGCATAAAGGAAGGCATCTCAGTCTTCAAAACTCATCTCGACTTTAGCCGCACCTGTAGAGAAAGGAAAGTCGTTCCTCAAAGCCTGCGCCTAAAACGACCTGTCCCGACCCATGCGTGCTTAGAAGTCGTCACAAGAGCCGAACAATGACTGATCAACGCCCGCCTTCTTGAAATTAACGCCTCTCTACGGAAAAGAGAACTGGACCTGTTCTTCGCCAAGCGTCAACTTGAGCACCGCATCCCTGAGTTGATGTCTGCTGCGGTCTATGCATTCGCGGACTCCGTTGCGGCATCAACGGCAAAAAAAGCACCGGACCACTCAGAATAAGAAACTCTCCCACCTGTTGGACCAGAGTTCCACCCAAAGCACCCAAAATTCCAGGTTTGTCACCAATCTTTCATCTCGTCCACTCACTGATCGAGAAACTTCTGTCCTGGCAAAGGGACATGGCTATAACATGTCAATGACGCTCCGTCTACCGAAACTTGTCGCGGCTGTAGAGAAAGCCGTCCAAAGCGTGAGGCCGGGTGCCAGAGAAGAAATTAGGCTGAAATCAATTGGGATCCTTTCGAAATTACCGTCACAAAGAAAAAAGAACTTTACCAC